ATGGGGGGCAGTAGATTTTCTTCCTGCAGCATGGGAATGCCATAATTACAGCTTTTCTTCATTTCTGATGTTTCTTAATATCACATTATTTCAGTGTTATTGCTACAAGAGAATAGCTTTTAATAGCATCCCAAAATACCTTAAGAAGAATGTTAATTATTTGACTGACCTGAAATGCCATGATAAACTTAATGTTGAAATCCTATCCTGAACTTTACAAGCTTTTGTGATGCCCTTCCCACACACAAGCACCTAGTAGTCAGCTTGAGCTAGAGGCCCAAGAGCATTCCTGATGGCCCGAGGCTGGTGCCTCTGACCTGTCTGCTGCTAACAAAGTATTCTACAGCTCTGCTGCTAGCGGTGCTCCCCAGTGCTACTTTAAAGAACCAAACACTGAAGATATTAAAAAGTAGGTATTCTCAAGAGAAAATTGTGGTTTTAGCATCTTTATGTATTTCTCAGGTTGCTGAAGATTTCACTACTAAGAAAACCTATAGATAGAAAGAGCCTTAGTTCAGATACTCTATCCCGGGGTTTTGCTAAAAGTAGACAAGACAGTCAGGTGATTCTGTGATTTATAAGGGATTTGGTTTCGTTGCTAACAGTGACACCTGCCTGTAAAAATATTGTCAAGCAAAAGGAACCTTGTTTGCATGGTTTGATTCTTCTCCTCCTCCATCTCTCCTCCCCCTCTTCTCTTTCTTCTCCTCCCAGAATTATCCATATGGAAGTCTAATAACCCTGTTTACCAAACATTTGACAAATATCTCTTAGCATCCAGTTAGCTGTCATGGCTATAAAGTTTATGTTCCCTATCAGAAGTTGTCTTCTTCCTAAAGTTCTCCACAGAACTTGAACTTGTGCAGTCACTAAGAAACCACAATCACAAGAGCACCTGTGCAAGGTGCTCTAAAGTTCATCTGTGCAAAAGCCCAGTCTTCCACTTCAGAATACAATGTGCCCCTAAAAGAAGAATATTTTCACTTAGAAATTCGTGTGAATTTAACCAAATTAGGCAAGAGGTTTTTTATTGACCTGGGCTGCATTATTTGTGACTCTCAAGTTAACTTTGCGCCTAGAAAAATGGGTACAGTGTATTCTCAACTTGATCTTACTGCATAAAACTAAAATGCCACCTTCCCTGTATGTATGCACCAAAAATCCACTGTAAGCAGCAAGTTTCCAGTGGTCCGATAAAGAAGATGGAGACTAGGAGTGGTGGGGAATCAGCATAGAAACACAAGACAAGTCCCACTGTGGCCTAGTATTTCTGTCCTGTTAGTAATTTTGGTAGAGCTCTTTCTAAGATGTGTTTCCTTTGTGGTCTGATCTCAGAGAAAAGGGCAATGTTGTGCCTTAGTTATAGTTTTAAAATACCATGACCAAAAGCAACTTGGAGAGGAAAGGGTTTAGTTCAGCTTAAATGTCACAGGCATAGTTCATCTCCTAGTGAATTAAGGGCAGGAACCAGAGGCCATGTATGAACACTGCTTACAGACTTGCTCCTCATGGCTTGTTCAGCTTGCTTTCTTACAGCACCCAGGGCTAACAGCCCCAGGTAGCACTGCCCACATTTTCCTGGGCCCTCCCACATGGATCATTGATGAAGAAAATGCCACAGAGAATTTCCAACAGATCAGTCCGGTGGAGGCACTTCCTCAACTGAGGCCCCCTCCCTCCAAAAGACTCCAGCTTGTATCAAGTTGACAAAAACTGCTGGCACATGCTGCGTGTAATCCTTGTGTAACTGTTGTCGTCTTGTTTTCTAGCATCCTCCAGGCCAGACATCAAGGAAGTACAGCTCCTGCTCCACCATCTTCCTAGATGACAGCACAGTCAGTCAGCCAAACCTCAAGTACACCATCAAATGGTAGGTGTGCAGACTACTTTTTGGTTTATTTGGTTTGGGGTTTGGGGGCTTGTTTGTTTGTTTTGGTAGTGTTGTTTTGAGACAGGGTCTCTCTAACCTTGTCTGTAAGTAAACCATACTGGCCTCAAACTCACAGAGATCTTTCTTCCTGTGCCTCCCAAGTTCTGGAATTAAAAGCATGGGCCACTGTACCTGACAAGGTTTTTTTTGTTTTTGTTTTTTTTAAGTTACTCTTGTTTTATGTGTATGGGTATTTTGTTTAAATGTCTGTGCACCTTTGAATACAGTGCTCTTAGAGGCCAGAAGAGGGAGTCATACCCCCTGGACTGGAGTATTGTGAATTGCCATGTGGGTGCTGGCCATTGAACCCTGACTCCTCAGAAGAGCAAGCAGTGATTTTAACCTCTGAACTATGTCTCCAGTCCCCAGGGTAGCCTTCTTTACCTCACCAAAAAGCTTCTTATAGGACCCGAGAGAGTAAAAACATGTGGGTCACTGACAATTAAGATTTTTTTTAAGTGACTGTGGTAGCTAAGATGTGGGGTATTCAGAATGTTTGTGCATGTTTCCACTTACATAAAGAAACTAGCTATGGTCAGGGGACACCTAAGTGAAGGGGAAATAGAGAGGGGGGAGGGAGAGGGAGAGATATCAGAGGTCTAAAAGCCTCATGGTTTATGTCTTGTGCACTCCTGTCTTACTAAGAATAAATTCACAATGTATTTTGCCCTCTTGAAAGAAAGAAAGAAAGAAACAAACAAACAAACAAACTATGTTACTAGCTGGGCATTGATGGTGCACACCTTTAATCCCAGCACTGGGGAGGCAGAGGTAGGCGGTTCTTTGTGAGTTCGAGGTCAGCCTGGTCTACAGAGTGAGTGCCAGGATAGGCTCCAAAGCAATACAGAGAAACCCTGTCTCAAAAAACCAGGGGAAAAAAAGAAGAAACTAGCATTTTACCTTACTTTAAATATTGATGTTCTAAAATATGTTCATTGTTTCATGTGTGTATGTATGTACAATTTTGCCCTTTCAATTTTGACTGAAGACATCCCACCACAGAGACAATAGTGTTTTTTGACTTTTAAATGAAATGAGACCTCCTCCCTCCAAGACCCAGATGGGAACTTTGGCTCTGCTAAGAGTGGGATGGTCTAGCCATGATCTTCTCAGCAGCTGGGGGAATTTAGGCAGTAGTATCCTTCTACATTTGGCCTCAGATCCTGATCTTTAAAGGGAAAAGGGGGGGAATCTTTGGGTCACTTTTTTTGATGGGATTTACTTTCCTCATTTAAAGAGGCAAAGAGCTATTTTTCCCTGTACTCTCCTGTCCCCATCAGGACAGTGGCAACAGTCAGGCCTGGCAGAGGTCTCAGAGAACTTTTATATTAGGGCCTGGATATCAATAGCCTGACTGAAAATCTGGGACATTTTATATCTGTTTAAGAAAGTACACATCTAGTAGCAACCCATATTATCACATAAAGTACTAAAATTACTACCTATAAAATGTTCTGTTTTTATGGACCAAGTTTTCTGATTTGGAAGTACCATTTATGATTGTATGTGACAGTCACTGCCTTAGTCCACGTATTGAGGACTGTAGCTAGTTTTCACAGTCAGTGTCTTAATCCTGTAAGGGGGAAACTGAGGCCCTTAGGTATATATGCTTGATCGCATAAAGTTCCTTTCCCTCATTGCCCCAGCACTTAGATATGGAGTGGTGGCTAGTAAGCATAAACTGAGATGGTCACCATGGGAACTGAGAAGATGAGAAGAGATACATCATATAGTGTAATTATCTGAGTGACCTCACCTAGTGCATTCACTTCTTAGTGAATGCTAGGAGATGAACAGTACAGAACCTTTTGGAAATAAATAGGCCTTGTGGGGGAAGTGAAAAGGCCTGAAGATCTCTGTGCCCTATGGTTTGGTGCAGCTGGCCAAGCTCTGAGGAGCCTGGAATGAAATCTACCAGTTTCCATTACACCCTAGACTACATGAGAGAGAACAATGAAGTGTATCCAGGGCAGCAGGAGCTCTTCACGTTCAAAGAGAGATCTGACCAAGCTCTCCACCTTCTGCCCTTAGGGGACTTAAGATCATCACTGGTTATGACATAGACACTAGGAACCTCATGGAAAACCAGGTGACATGTCTGAGAGGTGCAAGTATCTGGTTATAGTTGTGGATTCACATAAGTCACCACTGGGAGTCACCTCTAAGCTTAACTTTGTGATACATACATTCTGGAGGGATCTGTCTGGGGGTGTGGCTTAGAAAACTGAACTTTGAAGCCACTCTGGGAGGGTCCTGTAGGCAGCCAAGGGTGAGGATTCCATATTTAAAGGATGTCTGTCTTCTTTCCCTCCCTTCTTTCCCTCACCTAACTTAGACATTTTATCTAATCCACCTAAACTTGAAATTCCTTCAGTTATTGGTTCAGTTGTTCTAAAAGGTACCCTCTTTTGAAATGAGCTCTGGGAAGGAGGTTGGGTCATTGGAATCCTCTTCAGGTATCAGCTTCTCTCACTTGTTTATGAAGGAGATGAAGTGCTCAAAAACTAGAGGTATTAGCTGACCTGATTAGTCCTCTAGATAGCAGTGCTGCATAATAAGAGACGCTCAGAAGGAGAGAAGCAGCGGGTAGACAAAGCAGTCAGATTTCAGCCCCATCTGCCACTTCATCTAACCTTACCCTCACCTACCAAAAAGGAATATCACATTCCTTTTTCTGATTCTCTGTCTCTCCTAAGTCCAAGACCCTCTCATTTCCATCTTTTGTCATTGAATTGATCAAATATTAAGAGCTTTGTTGTGGATATTCTGAATATCTTGGGCAGAACATGTATTTCCTGACCCAGCTGCTGTTCCTTTGAGAGAGTACTCTGAGTTCTAAATCACTGATTCATAAACTAATTTGGTGTGACAACACCCCTGTAAGTTGGGGATTGTTCAAGTTGGCAAGTGAGTTTGCAAATTTTGATGGGGCCAAGAGAAGATGTCTAGAGGTTTGGGGGTGAGTCCCATCGTGGGGGAAGTGGAAAGGTGGACTCTGCTGGGGGGTAGGCTGGAGGGTTAGGGTGAGACCAACAGTGGGAAAAGTGAAGAGTGACCTTGTACTTCCAGTGAATCCAGTCCTTCCTTGGAAAACTTGGATTCCCTATCACTACTTTAAATGCCAAGTCTGTGGTATGGAGCTAGACTTACCAGTCTCCACACCTCTGCAGCCATCTCCCCATGCTAAATCCTAGAGCAGTTACAAATGTTGGTTAAGAAGATTAGAGGGAATCTGGGGAGTTCTTATATTCCACTGTTCAGGCCTCATTCCCATGGTCCTCTAGGACACCTGCTTCTTGATTGACCACCAAAAGTCTTAGAGTTGCCATATACTCGGCTCACACAGATCTGGCTAACAAGTCAGGTGTGTTGCCAGCAGTTACAAATCTGTTTTATTTGGCTTGTGTCTCTAATTCTGTTGTCCTCAAGGGAAGAAGCATAGGGGCCAAAAACTATTAACTAGATTCTACTAAACCAGTTGTTAGTTTTAAAGTGACTGTCACAACATTGTAACTACTTGATAACTAAACAGTAGTTTCCTTCTTTCTAAAGATAATGTGTAGAAGAAAAGAGCACAACTCTTATACAGGTCAGAAATCCTGATCTGCTATTTGATCCTGATGTGTCTCATTTAGAATATAGGGCCTGTGATAGGGATATGAATGTATGGAGAGATACTCTGGAAACATTATTATTATCTTAACTCTGAAGCCCTTTCACCTTAGTCTTAGATGCCCCCCACCCTCCCCCCCATCAGCACAGATGCCTTTAGAGATTTGGGGAAGAAGAACCTGTTACCCCTTGGTCCTGAGTATCCTCACACCTAGCTGAGTTCTTGTAAATCATTAGGTCTGGGAAGAGATTATGAGTCACAATATAAGCTGGTGCCAGGGGCTGTCTGGTTCAGTCTCAGTAAATCCAGTACACACCTGAGCTTAGAGATCTCAGAGCTGGCTTAGGTCTCTGTTGTTGCCCCTCCCATCATTTGCCTTTGGTGGTTTCTTGAAGGGCCATTTCTATTCTCTGAGAACCAGAGCACATTGCAGTCCTGCAAATGATCTGTATTGTTAGAGGCTAGGAAAATAACTTGGAGGATTTTCTTACATTTTAAAGTAAGACAAAAGGAGTAGAGAGAATTTTAGACAATTATTTTTCTAAAGGTAGCCAGTCAACTTGATGATGATCAAAACTATGCCATTTTCTATTGAGAAGGAAAAGATCTTATCAAAGTATTCATGGTAAGTGGATCTGAAGTGAAAGGATACTGGTGGGAAGTACATTCATTATGCTCTGGCAAGATACTTAACAGTATGTACTGGGAGTCCCCAGCTGCCAAGTGATTCTATTTTAGGATGCTTTTCTGCAAAAATAATAGAGCCATGAATTATACAGATATTTGTAAGATGTTTATTATGGTATGAATTAATTACTGAATATTCAGTCACAGAGAATGATTATTCAACAATCAAATTATGAAATATAACTAGCAGCTTTTAAAATCATGTTCATTAGGAATATTTCCCAAGGTAAGAAAAGCATTAAGCATGGGATGCCAACCTCTTTGTTCACACACATACAGGTAGAAATAGTAACTGTATAGCTCAAACTGATAGTAGTTATTCGGGGGCAAAGAGATTGTTTTTCTTTTGTTTTGAGACAAAGTCTTTGTACCCCTGCTGGCCTCAAACTCTCCGTTCCCCTGCTCCCAAGTGATGGAATTACAGGTGTTCATCACCGGTCTTGCAAAAGACAAGTTTCCCTCCTAGTACTGGGAACCAAACTCAGGACCACTCACATGCTAGGTAAGCACTCTGCCACTGAACTGCATCTCAACTCAGATTCTTCTTTAAGCTTTTTATATTTTCCAAAATTTCTGTGTTGAATATATTGTATTTTATATTAGAAAAGAAAAATGAATGTTTATTATATTCAGATATTTGAAAAGTTTAGACAGTTTTAAGACAGTATCCTAGGTTAAGTTATACCACCATTTCAGAAAATGAGTGGCTGTGGTGCATAGCTTGCCAAGAAGGTATGTGAGAGGAATATTAACAACTGTTTGTGCTACTCATTATTCTTTCTGTTATACATACATACATACATACATACATACATACATACATACATACATACTAATAATTTGCTAACTCATAGGTAGTGAATTGGAGATTTCTCAATAGGTTTAATTTGTAGCAGTTTTATGTAGTACCTGAATTTTAAAAGTGAGGAAAGCAAAAAATCTGATAGAAAAGCTGTAACTTCCCACTGTCATCCTATTGTTTCCAAAAATAATCTCACAATTCCTGGGAGTGAATACCAGAGTGACTTAATGTGGAGTATGTTCTGATCAGCACTGAGTGAAATGGGGCTTTCCAGATGGACTGTGTGGATTTTAATTAAATTTAGTGATCGCTGCCTGATAGTGCCTCGTACATGAAATGATGAGTGTGTTTATGGAACATTGAATTCCTGTGTTTTATTTTACAGTGTAGCTCTTGCGATATATTACCACATCAAAAACAGGTATGTGGACACTTAATTCTGTGCTAAAAGTATCACACATTGTCTTACTTTATTTTTCCTATTCTTTAACCTTGAATTTATATTTTTAACTCATGTTTTGGTAGACCTTGTAAAGGTTAATGCACCAGAGTGCCAGGGAAGAGCGAGGCTACTTCTGGACCAGGAGCACCACATATGGTGGCAGCAGACTTCTTGAGAAAGCTCAGATTCCTCTTCACTGATTACTTTCTGTATTACTTAACTAAGCATTCTGTGTTTTATAAAATGTTAGGTTTAATTTGAATTCAGTTGGAAATTCAGTTTGACAAAACATGATAGAGTTTCTCTAATAAAAGTCTATTTTGCAGTGGTTCTATTTGAAAAGTTGGGTATAACTGGATTTTTTTAAATATTGCTCAAATTTTTTAATATAAAGTATTTAAGGTGCATATGAAAAGGTGAGTTAGCAACTGAAGAGTTGTTCTTGCTGCTCAGTCAGAAAGACCAGAGTTTGGCTCTTAGCATCCATATTGTTTACCTTGAAAATGTCGATTAGTTCCAAGAGATATGATGACCTCTTCTGGCCTCCATGTGGCAGCTCCACATGTGGGCATACTCTCACACATAGATATACTCATTCACACATTTTTAAAAAGAGGGGGGAAATAGGAGCTGGAGAGAAAATTCAGTAGTCAAAAAGTTTTCACTGCTCTTGCAGAAGGACCTGAATTTGGTTTCCAGTACCCCACATTGGGCAGTTCACAACCTCCTAGCTCACAGACTCCAGCTCCAAGTGCATATGATGCCTTTGACCTCTGCATAGTCATCTGGACTCAAGCACATAAACACAGAGACACACAGCCATAATTACAAATAAATTTAAAAGGAAGAAAAATGTGGTAATTCATTTATTTGCTAATTTAATTTAGTGCCAAGACTTCTGCTTCAGGTCTGGGGCACTAAGCAGCCATTTCTGTAATTCATCCTTCCCAAACATATTTTCCCCAGTAGTGAGGAAAGGCCTATGCAGAGCATGAAGTATAAATTATTTCAGGTTTTTATCATAAAATGTACTGACCTTCTTTTCAATGATTTCCTTTTATTGGGCTTTTTCCTCTTAATTTTCATAGGCACAAAGGCCACTTAGCCACAGTCACATTTCAGTAACTAATGTGTGTCTATAGACATAATATTAAGTGCAAAACTAGTTTGGAACCAGGAAGGGCCACCAAACAACAAGACAGACCTCATAATTACTCAGCCTGTTAACACATGAGGAGAGAGTTGTGGGGCCATCTAGTACAACACAGATGGCAACTTCTGGGGAGCAGTATTAGAGAAACATAGCTGTGCAAAGCAAACACCTGTAAGGTGTGTACTGCAGCAGGTTTTCCTGTGCTGTAATTGTGATTGATGTGCATTGTGGCTCCTAAGTGTTTTAGATGAAGGCAAGTAGCACAGTTTTGGCACCTGAGCCTGGATAACAGTAGCAGTGCAGATTCTGCCCTGTCCTTTCTGTGGTCCAAGTTCAAACTTGAAAACACTGAAGTTACATGTAAGACTAGTAGTGAGACTCAGATGTGCTTTTAAACCAACTTTCCATGAGAGTCTTTAAGAGATTCTTGGTTCTTGTTTTGGGCCTGAGAATTGAGCCAAGAGTGCCATGGATGTTAAGCCTGCCCTCTACCAGTAAAGTAGATCCCAAGGTTGGTTTAGTTATAGATGTTAATAACAAGCACCTTTATTAAGTGCTTGCTCGGATTTCTCTTGTCAGTCTTTGCATGAATTTGTAGTTTAAATAACAGATATGAGAAGTGTTACTTTTATCATTTACATTATATAGATAATTTAATTGAGGCACAGAGAGTGTCTTAGTAAGTGTTCTGTTGGCTATGAAGAGACCTGGTGACCAACGCAGCTCTTAAAAAAAGAAAGCATTTAATTGGGGCTGGCTTATGTTCAGAGGTTTAGTCTGTTATCATGGAGGGACATGGTGGTGTGCAGGCAGACATGGTGCTGGAGAGGTAGCTGAGAGGTCTACATCAGGTTTAGTAGGGAACAGAAAGAAAAAGAAATACTGAACCTGACTAGCATTTGAAGCCCCAAAGCCCACCCCTCCCCACCACCAGTGGTACTTTTTCCAACAAGGCCACACCTACTCCAGCAAGGTCATGCTTCCTAATCCCTATCAAATAGTGGTAGTGCTACTCCCTAATGACCAAGCATTCAAATCTGGGAACCTGTAGTGGCTATTGCTATTCAAACCACCTCAGAGAGATTCAGTAATGTGTTAAAACTGTACAGCTAGTCAATTGGGAAATTAGGAGTTGAGCCCAGTCTACCACCTTTTAATCCCTCTGTTCTTATGGATGTTGATAAACTGAGTCAAAGGTGAATTGAAGTAGAAAATGAATAAGGTTAATTTGATTAATCTGGAGGTAGAACCCTGAACCTTTCTGAGGGCAGGACATATGTCTTGTCTGTAGACTTTGTCATGGACAGCCTCTAAACACCCCTGTGGGGCTAGCCATATATTTGCCTGCTAGAAGGATGTAGTGTGATTCACCTGAAATACATAGTTTGGTATGGATGGGGAAAGAAACAGTTCATCTCTCAGAGAATACATTAAAAATTTTTGTCACTTAGCTTAAATTCTTAATCTTTTTTTCTTTCCTTGTTTTGTTTCCTTGTTTCTTTCCTCTACCTTTTTTGAGATGGATCTCATGTATACCAAGCAGGTCTCAAGCTTATTATGTAATCAAGAATGATCTTGAATTTAGGACCACTCTTGAGTACTGGTATTACAGGTTACACTACCACACCTGACTGCCATGTTGTGGCTCCAGTCTCAGGCTTTATCCATACTAGGCAGAAGTTTCTAACTCAGCCACATTCACCACCCCCTTCATTTATATTCTTAATTTATTCTCCTAAATTACTTGTGGCAATTTTTTCTCTGGCATGCTGCATGGTTATTGAGTGATTCCCATTCATCAGGAAAAACTGAATAACACTCTTGATGGTCTACGGAAGTGTAGTGCTGGCCAGGCTTTTGAATGTCTTGCCACAGGGAAGGTAAAGGGGTCTGCTGACTCTTAGTGACAGGGAACATGGTCAGAGGCAGTGAAGCCAGGTGTACATAGGAGGAACTGTCTGCTTTCAAGTTCCATGGTAGGACTGAACCTTTCTTTCACTTGGGTTTATCTATATTAAAGTGCCAGGCTCTATGTGAACAGGGCACAAAGGTAGATGCTCAGAACTCTTGATCAGTTTCTATGCCTGTTGCTGGAATGGACACTTGGCTGTTTTATAGAGATATTAAATTTATAAAGCAGAAATTAGAGTGTTTAACATTGTAGGGATTGGTCAGTAAGCCTGGTGTTATCAAGCTGAGCCTAAACTTTATACACAGACTAGAAATTATGTGGTATTACCTAAAAAAATCATTGTGGGGTTGTTTATTTGTTTGCTTGTTTTTTTTTTTTTTCCAACTTGACATAAGCTAGAGTGATCTGCTAAGACAGAACCTCAATTTTAAAAAAATGTCCCTTCAGATTAGCCTATAGGCAGGTCTTGAGGGTATTTTCTTGATTGAAGATTGATGTGGGAGGGCCCATCTGGCTGTAGATATTTCTATCCCTGGGTAGGTAGTCCTAGGTTATATTAAAAAAAGAGTCAAAATAGGCAAGCCACTAGGAGCAAGCCATTAGCAGCATTCCTCCATGGTCTCTGCTTCAGAGATCCTGCCTCCATAATCCTGCCTTGAATTTCTGCCTCAATTTTACTCAGTGATCAGGACATGTAAGTCAAAGGTCCCTTTTCTCTTAAAAGTGCTTTTAGTGTCTTATCACTGCAGTAGAAAAACAAACTAGGACTTAAAACAGTTGTGGCTTTTTTTGTTTTGTTTTATTTTGTTTTTCAAGACAGGGTTTCTGTGTGTAGCTTTGGAGCCTATCCTGGCACTCGATCTGGAGACCAGGCTTGCCTTGAACTCACAGAGATCCTCCTGCCTTTGCCTCCCGAATGCTGGGATTAAAGGCGTGTGCCACCAACACCCCGCCAGTTATGGCTTTTAAATTAAATTTGTGGACAAAACTCAAGTTATATTAAACAGTAGATCTGTCACTGATGAGATGAGATGTGATGTGCTCTGTAGAGGCCAAAACTCCAAGGCTCTGAGTTGACCAGAGGCCAGCAACCCAAAGTGCCAAGTAGGCTAGACTCTAACATCTCAAAGTACTTTATAGGTCAGAGACCCAACGCCCAAAATGCTATGCACTCCCTAGGCTAGAATCCCAACCTGCTATGTAGACTAGTAGCTAGCAACTCAAGGCACTGCGTGGATCAGAGGTCAGTACCCTAAAGCACTGTACAGGTGAAAAGCCAGCAACTCAAAGTGCTATGTGTACAGCAGCCAGCATCTCAAACCACTATGTACACCAGAAACTGACATCTGAAGCCATCACCTCATATAGACAGCATGCCAGTCCAAAGTGCTGTGTGGACCACATACCAGTAGCCCAAAGCAGTGTATGAACCTGAGGCTAGCAGCCCAAAATACTGTTTACCTGAGGTCAACATCCTAAAGTGCTATGTGTACCAGAGGCCACAGCCCTATTTGCTACATGTAGACCCATGGCTGGTAGCCTTGTCTGCTCTTAGGTCTAGTTCTTCTTAACATTGTTCCATTCACGGTCCTTCTGGCTTATAAAACAGATATACAAACTACACATATGCTGATTTGAGAAACTTAATAGTGTAAAACATAGTTTTGCCATTTATTAAAAGGGAAAACAAAATCGCAGACTTGTAAGATGGGCGTGCTTATTTAATTTACATCAAGAAATCTTAGCTGAATATTTGTACTGTAGGACACAGGGACTTTTTAGTGTTTTTCCTGGATTTACTGATACTTTTATAATTTTTATGCAGAGGATGCTGTTTCACATTTATATCCAATATAAAATGGCAGAAGTATGTTTAGGGCCATTTCAGAAATGGCTAGAAATTCTGTTCTTTCCCATCCCAGATTTACTGGGTGATACTTTATGAAACTCAAGTCAGCAACTCAAACTGTATTTTCTAAGATAAGGTATTCTAACACACTATAATCCAGAGACATTCATTTTGATGCTGAGAAATGGCAATAGGAAAATACTAAAGTGCTTTTTTTTTTTTTTTTATAATTAAACCAGTATGCTTCTATAAGGTCAGATACCTTTGTGTGCACAGTAAAAATAACTGCAGTTCATAATATCCAGTAGTCTCAGGGATGTTTCAGGCAGTGTTGCTACAAGATACAGGGTGCATACAGTGTCCAGAACACAAGCTATAGTTAAGTCACATGATTAAGTACAGGTAAGTGCTGCTAGAAAAGCCTCAAATTCAATTCCTTAGTTGCTGGAATTATCAGTATGTCTTGTGACCATTTAAGACTGTTCTGCTTTTCCTGCTTCATGCCCCACATACACACACACACACACACTGCTTCATATCAACCACCATATGGTTACCACCAGTCAGAAAAAAAGTGTTAGAATTAAATCGTTTTAGATTTAAATAAGGGTTCATGACAGGGAAGGTGGAAAATAGTGAAAGCAGTGGAATACATGAGATTAAAAAACAAAAAATTAGAATGTTGGTTAAAGCCATCATTTTTGCTTTATTCACCTAGAGGTTTTTATCTCTGTGGTTTGAACCACAAAAAATGATTAAATGCTGTACCTGAGAAAAATGACTCATTATTTACAAATAACCAGCAGTGACTCTTAAATTTAGCAGTTCCTATCTGTTGAACTGAAATGTGCTTTGTTTCTTTTTTTAATGGCATTTATTCTGCAGAAAGTAAACTCTGATTTCTGTTGCTTTCCTCACCAGGGACCCAGATGGAAGGATGCTCTTAGATATTTTTGATGAAAACCTCCACCCTCTTTCGGTAATCGCCTCCTTGCGTTTCATGAGATGATTTAGTTAGCTGTCTCTTGCTCCTGTCCAGTGGCAGTCATCAGAAAACTTCTTTTTTCCTAGAAATCCGAAGTGCCACCAGATTATGACAAACACAACCCAGAACAGAAACAGATTTACCGGTTCGTTCGGACACTGTTCAGTGCTGCTCAGCTGACAGCTGAATGTGCCATTGTCACCCTGGTGAGTGTGAACAGCAGACTCTGATCGGGTGACTCTGGGTAAACTTGTGTACATCTCTGTGTCTTTTGTGAATGTCTGGGGAGTGTGGAGTGTTCTAAAGTCCCGTCCTAAAGTCATGTGTGAAGTCCCACTCAAAGCCAGTCAGTGCTATCAGTGCTGGCGTTTTCAGGGCTGGTGCAAGGTAGTATGGACCAAGAACATCCTCTATAATATCTAGCTTCTTTTTGTTTACTCCCCACTATAATCTTAATGACAGCAGAATGTAGTTAGTCATATATCCAGGATGAGGTGAAATGTCAGTGAATTATGTGCATCCGTGCCCTAGATATATGAAGTATGACTGACTAGCTTCTGATTTGTTTTGTATAAATGTGTCTGTAGGGCATGCAGATGATATGGAAACCTGTATTTTAAGACCCATGTGAGGGAAAAAAATCTTTTCCCTGTTCCTCATCCTCTCATGCCACAGAAGGGCCAGCCTTGGAAACAGGCCCCTTCTAAGGACAAACCTTGAGCCTGCTTGTGTTCACTATTGTTTATGCCTCTTTTCTGTTATTTCTTTTATTCCTATACCTCATAGATGATTGGGACATTCTACAGGGCTACAAAGATCTACCCTTAAATAGTAAAAACTAGTGTTGTTCTGATTACAAATACTAAGAAGTTTGTATGTGTGCCTGTACCCTCCTCATGTGTGAGGTTTTCTTAGTAGCCATTCTTTGCTACATAGAAATAGTATAGAAAGAGCAGATGGAACCAAACTTCCAAGTGGGAATCTTAGTTAATGCATTCAACTTTCAATAGAAGCTCCAAGACTTTAAATAAAGCCAGTGTTTACATTTTCACTGTAGGGAACCCTTAAAGACTTTCACACTAGTTCTGTAATAAAGTACCATGCGCTGAGTGGCTTCAGAAAACAAACTTATCTGGATATGGTGACATGCACCTAGAGTCCTAGATACTTGGGAGGCTGGGCCTGGAGGATCACTTGTGCCCTGGAGCTCAAGGCCAGACTAGGCAACACAAAAATCCTGGGAAGTACGAGGTGGGGAGGAATGAGGAAGCCAGAGGGGGAGAGGGGATGGATACAGTGCTAGGGACCAAATCTAAGGCTTACTCATACTAACACAATAGCTATCACTGAGCTACAAGTGAGTGAGTGCTGAAAAAAATTTGTATCTTCGAGTACTAAATATCCAAGTGGAAAATTTGTAGAAATTTTATAAGCAGGAAGCTGTAATTACTCTCTTCAAATAATTTGTTTCTTGGTCACAAGTTAGCATCTATAGAGCATTGATGAATGGTGTGAGTTTGGATAATAATTCTCATGCCCTAAAATAAACATGATAACATCTGAATTAGTATATACTTGGGAGTGGAATGAAACTGTCGACTTTTGTTGCTGACTGATGTTGTTGTCTTGACCTAGGCCCTAGTGGAGCCATCTCTGATTGGTTAAACCAAATAGTTATAAGACTGAAGGATTAACACCCAAAAAGAAATTGTGTCATTCAAATTCGGGCCATATACCTGACCTCACATAATTTTTTTAAATTCAGATTAGAATAATTTTATCATAGTTGAAGCTTTCTTTATGTATGTCCTTGAGTTTTCATTTAATCTCCCACCCCAAAATGCCTTTGAAAACTTTTCTTTGTTTGCAGTAGTACTAAGTAACTCCACAGTTGACATTAACCTGTGTTGTCTAGAGATGCATTAGGACAGTCTTTCACATGACTGTAATGTGAAGTTTTAACTGAACAGTATCATTAGCACTATCTGGAGATACTGTTCATGAAAATCAGTAGAATGTTACTTTAGTTGTCATAGAACTAAAATATACTAGTGGGAATTTCCCCCAAAATACGGTGTTACTGACAGGTTCTGCTGAATCACATGCTAGTAAGAAGTGCTTACTGTAACTATCTCCTCTAGTGTAACTGCTGCTTTCCTCACATGTAACATGTTATGATGATGTTACAGTGATGTCCCTTTCCTTCAGTAAGCCCTCAAAGGATATCAGTAGCCTGACATAAAACATGCTGGTTCTTTTCAGACAATACCTAATGTGTTATTAGTATCCATCAACTAAGGTAATTTTAACTCAAAATAAAATTTCATACACACCTTTCTGCCTGAGCCAATGGAAATTATTTCATTGCAGCTATTAGCCCAACTCGAGTGCACAGAAACTTACCATGATGTAGAAGAATGTTGCATTCTACCGCCAGTTTCTATGAACTAAGAGACTTAGGGAATCCCAGTTTCTCTTTTCTGCTTTCAGTATACTTTTACATGACTTCTAATCTTGTGGAGAATGGCAAGAGTGTGTTGTCAAGCTTTGGGAAACTACAACCTGAGGTTCCCAAGATGTCTAGCTGAAAGTGATCCTGGCCCACTTAGTTAGTCAATAAATATCATGATCTAAAATACTACCTCACTGCCAATGCTCCAGTGTGATAAATGTCATTTAAAACTGGGATATCCAAAAGTTGTTTCTGAACATTTGCGTAACTTTAATTTGTATAATCAACAGCAGGTTTTCATCCTTGAGACAGATCCTCAGAGCCAGCCACAAAGTTTCATGTAGAGCAGTCTATGCTCTGCCACCTGATTTCCTGTTCTTCCTGGGATAGCCTCTTGATTCTTACGGGTAACTCAGAAGAATGAGTTATTTGTTACTTTGAGCTGCCCCTCGGAATCTCATTGCTTTAGCTTCCTCCATCAGTGTCAGTTCTTTCCTGGATGCCATGAAATATAGTCATTTTCCCCATTAACTTCCTGCTGAATCTTCTTGCACTGAAGTTCCTATATTATTCCTGTCCCACTGAGGCTGCTCACAGTTGTAAATGGATGTCATCCATGGTTGTCTCATGTGGGATTGAGGGTGTGTTAAAGACAGACACTTTGGGAGCATCACTGTGTCTCAGCCTTGTGCAGGGTGCCACACAGTGGGCCTTAGAATCTTTGTCATCAGGAGCTTAGGGTTTACTGTAGGAAGAGAGAGGAAAAAGACAAACTCCCCTGAAATATGTCCAAATTTTTACTACTTCAGTAAGTCCAAGGTCTCTTATCACAATTTGCTAACTGTTTGGAATCTGAAATGTTAGTTCTTGCTGGGTATGTGTCACACAACTGTTCGTGTAGTCCCAGCACTGGGGAACTGGAGATATAAGGATTACAGGTTTAACCTGGGCTGTGTGGCATATTCCAGGTCATCATGGGCCACACAGTGAAACCCTGCCTCAAAGAAGCAGAAAGATATTTCTTTCCTTGACAGTTTTTCCTTTGTATTCAGTGTGTGTGTCCCAGTCCGTCCTGTGTAACACATGGTATCAGACAGTCATCAAAATCTACATCTTCATGATCTTAAAAATTGGTATCTATTAGTGAATCACTGAACACAGAACAGGGATCTTATTCTGTCTTGTTCTGCACATACCTGGCAAAGCTTGTTTCTGTGAGAGGAGCAGTGGGGAACTGTTAGGAGCCGTTACAAGCTCTGCGCATGCGCAATAGGTAACTTTGTAACTTTCCAGCCCTTAGTCTCCTCCCCTCCCGTGACGTCATATGGTTCGATCAGCTGACGTCATATGGTCCGACGGTCTTCATCCAGTCAGAAAGTAACAGTCTGAGGCGACGGTTGCCAGCCTATATAAGGAGAGGTTTTTGGGTGTTCAGAGTCTCTGCTCTGTAAGCTGATGCTCTTCCTCTCAAGAGGCATTAAAGCTTTACTGCAGAAGGATCCTGAGGAGTGTCCCCGTGTCGTTTTTGCTGGCGAGGTGGTTAGCGCGGGACATTGAACCCTTGATTTCTCAACACCTTTGGGTAGAATAGTTGCCCTGTATCTGTCTAAGGGGAAAGAGATGACTGCTGCTAGAGGAGCTGGCCCAGAAACCCTGCCTCACTGACTTTTGATTTCCTCAGGGAGCCAAGGTTTCACTTCCAGAAGGAAGTTTCTCTTTTGCCCTTGTCCACCCTCACCTCCACCCTACCCTGCCCCCAGCCTTTACTCACTATTTCCCTGTCACTTACTCTGTGCTCCTCACTTTTTTTTGTTGGTCAGGGCTATGAGAGTCAGAAATTCCATTTTCTTCGTGGGTACTTAGAAGTATGTGGAGTAGCCTTACATTCTCCATACAGGAGAGCGCCCCAACAAAGAGAAGGAGCCTCTGTCCCTGTCTCCAGCTTCCACCTTTGCTTCTCTTCACCTCGGGCCTTGGCGTCTGTTCTGCCTACACAGACTGGAAGTTAAAACTCAATCAATCCTGACTCCTTTGCTCTGCATGCTCACAACTTAGGGACTTCTTTTGATACATCTTAGACATAGCATGCAGGCAGATTTGCAGTCACCTTACATAGCCTCTTCTCTCTGATACCTGTTTCTAAGGACTATATTTAGCCAACTACATACTCCAGAAGCCTTGGGTACTTCCAAGGTGGATACCTTTGAGGTCATTTCCTGCAAATGTCTGGACTATTTCAAGACTGTACCCATTTCAAGCACTGTTCCTCTCTGTTCAGCGTAGTTCATAATTTTATCTTCCAGTGGCTACTTCCAGATCATGGTATTGCCCAGGCTCCTCTCTGACCCTGATCAGTCAGTGAGGCCACCTGGAGGCTCAGGGGTAGCATAGTCCCTTCAGAGGGATCTGTACTTAGGATTGGTGGGTGAGTGTCCTCATTCACCTGTTGTCTGGTGTTGTTCAGTCTCTCTGGTGCTGCCTGATGTCTTTTCACTTCATTTAGTACTTCTGCCAGCCCATGCTACTGTTCCAATTCTAAACAGCTTGCCAAAATTGAGCCTCTCCAGAGAGCCCCAGTGCCATATCTGGTGTGGGTTTTCCTTTTTTAAGAAAATTTCCTAGTTCCATCCATTTGCCTGCAAATTTCAAGATTCCATTGTTTTTTCTCTTTCTGCAGAGTAGTACTCCATTGTGTAAATGTACCACATTTTCTCTATCCATTCTTCAGTTGAGGGGCATCTAGGTTGCTTCCAGGTTCTGGCTATTACAAATAATGCTGCTATGAACATAGTTGAACAGATGTCCTTGTTGTATGAATGTGCATCTTTTGGGTATATGCCTAAGAGTGAAAATTTCTGGATCTTGTGGTAGACTCATTCCCTTTTTCCTGAGGAATCGTCATACAGATTTCCAAAGTGGCTGTACAAGTTGGCACTCCCACCAGCAGTGGAGGAGTGTTCCCTTTCTCCACATCCTCTCCAGCATAAACTGTCATTGGTGTTTTTTATTTTAGCCATTCTGACAGGTGTAAGATGGTATCTCAGAGTTGTTTTGATTTGCATTTCCCTGATGGCTAAAGATGTTGAACACTTTCTTATGTGTCTTTCAGCCATTTTGGATTCCTCTATTGAGGATTGTCTATTTAGTTCTGTACCCCACTTTTTAATTGGATTATTTGGTGTTTTGGAGACTAGCTTCTTGAGTTCTTTGTAAATTTTGGAGATCAGCCCTCTGTCAGATGTGGGATTGGTGAATATCTTTTCCCAATACGTGGGCTGTTGTTTTGTCTTGTTGATTGTGTCCTTTCCCAGACTGATAGCTGGGAAATCAACATGGGACTGATCTAGACCCCCTGAATGAGGGAGGAGACCTCAGAAATCTATGGGGCCCCTTGTAGTTATCCCTAGCATAGGAATGGACTTTGGGAGCCCATCCCACATGGAGGAATACTCCCTGAGCCAAGACACATGGGGGTGGGCCTAGGCCCTATCCCAAAGTATAGGACAGACTCTGATGAGCCCTACTGAAGGCCTCACCCTCCATGGGGAGCAGAAAGGGTATGGGATAGGTAGGGTGTTAGTTGGGGGGTGAGGGGGACCTGGGATTGACATGTAAAATAATCTTCTTTCTAATTAAAATTTTAAAATTAAAAAAAAAAATAAAAGAAAATCTCCGTCCTACTTAGGAAGCTTGTTGTTTAAACAGAATGTAAACTGCACTTTGTGTGTTTAGCATATTCTTTTCCACATGTGGCTTTTTTACATGTTGTAAATATTTAAGACTATAAAAATACTATATGCACCGGGCGTTGGTGGCACACGCCTTTAATCCGAGCCACCGGGAGGCAGAGGCAGGTGAATCTCTGAGTTCGAGACCAGCCTGGTCTACAAGAGCTAGTTCCAGGACAGCCTCCAAAGCCACAGAGAAACCCTGTCTCGAAAAAAAAAAAAAAAATGCTATATGCAAGAGTAATATATGTATATACATTATATATAAACACCAGCAGATTTCATCGTTATAGATTTTAGAAAGCAAGTTCTTAAAAGAGTATTGAGTATCTGAGTTTCATTTCTTTCTCATACATAGTTCCATTTTGTAAATGAGTATCATAAAAATTGCAGAAATAAGAGAGGTTTGAAACAGTCTAATTTAGATAAAGGAAACTAAAAGGCTTAGGACAGGCTTTTTTTAGAGAGAGAGAGAGAGAGAGAGAGAGAGAGAGAGAGAGAGAAAGTGCTCCTGAAGGATCCTCTGGAGCTGGAGTCACTGGGAGTTGTAAGGAACCTATTGTGGTTTTGAAACAGCAGAGCTTGGATCCTCTGAGCCATCTCTCCACCCCCATGACAGCTCAAGCAAGGGGCTTTCTATTTGTTTGTTTTATGTATGTGTTAAACTAAATTCTGTGAATTAAAAAATCCTGTATTGTTTGGTCTCATTTTCAAAGTCTGGCTGAAATTTTATTTAAACAATTTAAATGTCATTTCATCAGATCAGAATTACAGTGAGGTACAGCTCATACCCATCATGATGGCCATTCTCACCTTCAATACCTAAGATACGGTAACAAGTGCTGAAAGGGATTGAAAAAATCAGCATCCCACCTGAGCACTACTGAACTGCACATTGCAGCCACTATGGGGGAAAGCATGGTGACTTTCTTCTCACAGTGAAACAGAATTGCTATAAGGTCCAGGGGTTCCACTTAACTGCACCCAAAAGGAGCAAAACCTGACTTTCCAGTGTTGGCAGCATTATTCACAATAGCCAAGAGAAGAAGCAGCCTAAGTGGCCACTAATAGACGAGTGGGACATGTGCATGCAATGATGTATTTCTCATCCTTGGAAAGGAAGGAAGTTCTGATAGCACTACAGATGAAACACTACATTATGCTGAATGAAATAACTCAGGCACAAGAAGATAAATATTGTATGATCCACTGGTATAAAGTAGAGATGACAAAAAAAGCACAGTGGTGCTTGTAGGGGTTGGCAGAAGGGGGGCTTGGGAGGAATTACAGGGGCTGGGAGGGACAGGGGTTGCTTAGAGATACATATTTCATTGGAGGACAATAAAAGTGCTTCCTGATGGTAAAAATTGTTGCAGGACATTGAGCATACCTACTACTGCAGATATAATTAGAAATGATTGAAAGGCTTTGTGTTGTGCATGATTGATAGATTGATTGATTTTTGAGGCAGAGTTTCTCTGTGTAATCTCCCTGGCTGTCCTAGAACTCATTATGTAGACCAAACTGGCTTGAACTCAGAAAAATCTGCCTGTCTCTGCCTTCGAGTGCTGGGATCCAAGGCATGTGCCATCACCATGCATGTTGTGTGTATTCTACCACTAACAATACAGGTTTATCAGTAGCCAAATGTGAATTACAATTACAATGAAGTTCAGTTTTTAAAAACTACAGGAAGGCAAGATGATCTCTGTGAGCTATGTAGTTAGACACTGTTGCTTGGGGCTGGACCCTGGCAGTTCCCAGAGAGGAGATAAGGAGTCAGTGAGGGAGGATCTTACAGCCTGACTGACTAGTGGCCAGAGTGCTGCTTTATTTATATAGAATTCAGTAAGCAGGGATAGATTCATGTTGTTTCAAAATATAGATCATAAAATTTTTGGTTTTGAACATGTTTCACTTCCTCTTGAAAATATTTTAGTCATCATTGATAAACTGTTACGGAACAAAGTTACCATTTGCATTCATTTTCCCTCAAGTTTAATCATCATTGATAATTCTTAAGAATCTAGAGGCATGTGACAGTCTGTTCTCAGGCTAGTAGCTTTTGTGGCTACAAGGACACTAGACTAAAAATCTCCATGCCCAGACAGTTTGCCATGTCCCCAAGCAGTATATTATTAACTCTTAGTGATCATAGTGCCCAAGGAAAATCCTCAGGACAAAGCTGCTGCAGTTATTATTCAAATTCTGACATAATCCAATGTTTACTTTATGTATTTATAGAATTTGTTTATATGTCTAATCCTAGCATTCTTTTGTTCTTTGGTCATATGAGATCACAGTGGCTCTGCATGAGCTAACCTTTTTAAGAAAGGGAGGTCCTGACATCCCATTCATTTATCACCTTTTTACATCATTATTTGTCCATCAATATAAATCTCTGTGTGGTGCAGAGGTAACTTCAGTTAATCTAGTTTTGTTGCTGTATATGTCACATACTTGTCTGTGTGTATAGTAGAAAGAGGCTTGCAATCTGATCAGTAGCCAATTCCTCTAGCCCAACGAATCTTGTTGATCTTTAAAGTTTACTTTGTTTTGATTTCTGAATAAGTACAGGGACAGATGTTTCAAGAATATCTCACAGCCTCATAATTAGACCTGGCTTCTTTACATGTGTTACAATCTCCAAGACATAAGGAAGACCTTCAGGTAGATAAGGATATCTTCCTAAAAGCGGGAGGGGTAGTATGCTCAGGACTTTCCTGGGGAAACTTAGAAGCAGTACCCTGGGAGAAGACATAAATGATTTGTAAGAAATTTTCCATCAATCCAATATCCCCAAATTGTACAAATATTAAAAGTCCCCCTAAGTGTGCAACAGGTGTAGATCAAAACCAAAAGTGGCACAGTGACCATCATGCACCTCAGCTTTGTTGTATCTTTGTCAAGCAGCTATGCTGACTCTATGACTTTTGCCATTCCCATCAGATATAACTGTGCTACCCAGTCTTTACAAACAAACAAACAAAACCTCTATAATGGCCAGCAAGATGGCTCAACGGGTAGAGGCATTTGCTTCACATCCCCAGAACCCACAGAGAAGTAAACAGAGAGAGCTGACTCCATAAAGCTTTGCTCTGTCCTCCACCTATGCAGCACATGTCGTCACACAGCATACATACGCAGAAAAGGTTTTTAAAAATAAAATTATAGGTCAATGACTTCTTGGAAATGATCTAAAATCAAGTGTAAAATACCTTAGATAAAAAAATGCATAGGTTTGCAGCCTTTACATACTTTATGTCAGAATATATTTTGACCTGTGGCTTTTGGGATTTATGTCAGCCTCAATATTAACAAGATCAGGTATGTTTTCACTGTTACAATGTGTGACCTCCAGCCAAATTCTAGAAAAACTTACTAGGTGTTTCAGCCTTTTAAAAATGAATATGTCCTGGTACAGTTACAGCTGTTAGTTTAGTGTTTTTATGGGACTCCTGTGTATGCGAAGGAGGGTTCTCTGTTTCTTGTGCCTTTTCTTGGGCTCTTTTCCTTCTTGTGGTTGTTTTGTCCAATTCCAATGTGTTAGTTTTTGTTTTATCTTCCTATATTTTATATTAGTTGCCCTTAGAAGCCTGTTTGTTTTCTAATGAGATACAGAAAGGAAGGGGATCTGAATGGGAGGGGAGGTGGAGAGAAGCTGGTAAAAGTAGAGGGAAGGAAAATTGTCATTAGAATATAGTTTGTTTAAAAAATTATTTCCAATAAAAGAAAAAAGCATAGGTAAAAATAATAAATATCTTAGATCATATTTTTAAGTATGTTCAATAATTTTTTCTGTATATTTGATGTGTTTTTGTCATTATCCTTCATTTGCTTGCTCATATAAATGATATCATTTTCAAGACTTTTTTTAGTGATTACAGCAGATATTCATATAAAGAAATAAGTATGCCAAGGTAACACCTACTTAAAGGACTGTTGTGGTGGAATTTATGCTAAGTTTACTGGGGTGGAGGAGACAACTGAAGGCATTTAGCACTGGTTTCCTCGTGTCTCCTCAGGTATACCTTGAAAGGCTCTTGACGTATGCAGAGATTGACATCTGTCCAGCCAACTGGAAGCGCATTGTTCTGGGAGCAATCCTGCTGGCCTCTAAGGTGTGGGATGACCAGGCTGTGTGGAATGTAGATTACTGCCAGATCCTGAAAGACATCACAGTGGAGGACATGTAAGTGTGGACATCAGTCTGTTTCAGGACTGAGTTAGAGGGATACCATGCCTCTTTTGGATGGTCTATATAGTATACAGTTGCCGGGGTCCAGCTTCAGCTCGGGTTCAGGTTCTGAGACAGGGAAGGGGTGTTGGCACAAGGAAAAATTCTAAACACTAAATGGATTGTTCTCAATGGATGGCCCCGAATAGCTCAAGCCATCTTTATTTATACTTCACATTTTCTTACCAGGGTTACATGAACAGCTTTATTATTGGCTTCTGTGTGTTACTTTTAAGAAGTACATATTTTAAGAAATACATCATAATAATTATGAAAGTCCCTATTTTCCCATTTATGCTTCCCCAAATATACTTTTCCAACCCCCTGCAAAACCTTATTCCAGACATAGAATTCAGCATTTTCACAGACTTAACTAAATGTCGAGCCAAGACACATCCTGCTCCTGCAGCACTTATACGTCAGCCAGCAGCTACCTGCAGTTACGAAGTCAAAAAGGAATAGACATGGGCACAATGCTTTAAAGACAACTGTGTTCTTTCATGTCTGCAAGTTACAATTTTATATAGTTCCCCCCCCCTTTTTTTCCACAAGAGGGTCCCATGTCACAATCTGTCTGTAAAAGGCAAACTCAGAAGCACTCTTTCCCATCTCACTATACTATACTTCTTCCACCAGTATAAATAAGCTCCTCTGTATGGCAAAGATGGATCTCTCCACCCCCATATTTTACATTGCATTTTTCCCTGTTGAATCATACTAGATCTTATTGTTGGTTCTATATGCTTGGTGTCCAGGGGACTTACTCAACAGTTGACACTATGTATATGTATACCTGAAGCCTTTTGTCTATTCTATATATGTGTGTCCTACTCTCCTTTCCAGAACTGTGAGACAGGGTTAATGTTCCAAGTGTTGTTTCCTCATATATACACAATTGTCTCTATTGAGTCAGAAAAGTTCACAGGATTAGAAATTGTAGTTAGTAATTCCAGATAAGAGATTTGAGAAGCTTTAGCCCCTGCTGAAAGTTAGGGGGAAATATTAGAAAAAGAACAGAATTTCCAGGGAAAATTACAGCTGTTACATGTGTGACTGACAAAGTAAAACTAAAAACTGCCCAAAGAATTAAAAGAGCCTTCAAGCTACACAAATTTTGTAAATTCTTACAAGTGAGAGTCTGTTTCCACAGGTACCTTGCCCTGAGGAAACCTGTTGAATAGGTAGTCATATGATGATCAGAGACTAGGCTGCATGGCTTCCAATATAGAATGAATGGATTTGGCTGAATGTTGTCAGGCTCCTCAGAGAAAATATAGTGAACTGTATTTCTCATCATAGTGATCATGAATAGGTACTGGCAATACTTTCTGGTAAATATTCCTTTGGGGGTTTGTATTTGGGTCCTGTGTTGCCTCAGACCAGACCAGGAACAAAGCCCATGTTCCTCTGTGTGCAACAAGCCTAACCCAAAAAGCTCAGGAGATAAGTTAAAATGTTGGCATTTAGCTTTGGCATATTTGGCAAGTTCAGATACTAAAATTCAATCATGTATTCCTGAGGCTTGATGTATACCAGCTTCACCCTGCCATTCTCTCTCCAAGAACAGTGGAGGAGCCTCCATATGGGGAGAGCTGTTCACCTGGTTCACAAGGATCATGTGAGGATTTCCTAGCTGGATCAGACCTTAGCTTCTCTGATAACTATTAGCTGAGGACCTCCACACAAAGTCCCTGAAGCACTCAACTCCAACCACCTGAAGACTATTCTGGTTTATCATCATCACTTCTGGCATTCTTTGCTTGGCTTAGCTCTTCAGCTAAGCTCCTAAAGGAACTTTCTAACAGGAAGTTACCATTGTATCCCAGTTAGGCCACCTTATTGGGCCCAACAGCCCTGGCACGAGAACCTTAATGCAGCCTGTGTGGAAGAGTCACCAGGCTATAGGCACATTGGCATGCTGGCCTCAAATCCTCACCAGCCTCCCCTACCTCTGCCTCCTGCCTCAATGATACTGTGTGATATCACTTGAAGCCCTGTGTCCTCAGAACTCTGCTTCTGAGCCCTTCCTTTGGCTGCTGCTTCATCACAGCAAGAAAAACAGGAAGTTGTTATTAGACGATCTCACAAGAGAACAAAATCCTTTACCATATTTCAGGGTGAAAAAAGCTTCTAAAGCACTGCCATTCTGACCCACGGGAGACAAATGCTTAATGCATAACACTAGCCCATGCTCTTATTAGGAACTCTTCTTTCATTAGCTCCCTGATACCCTCCAGCTCTTTGTTGCATGCCAAGGTAGAGCCAGAATTTGTATTTCTTCTCTTGGGAGCAGATGAAGCCAAATTCAACTATCTATAATGTATTTTAAAATGACTTTTTTCCCCTTGAAATTCAAGTCCTTTTCCACATACACATATGCACACACACACAAATCTAGAAAATTTGACCAAAGTTCATTCAGGTGAAATTCAGTGTAAAGAACTGTTTGGGAGCTGGATATAGAGCTCAAAGGTGCCTGGCACATCTAAGATCCTGGGTTGGGCCTCCAGCAGCTACGAAAGAGAGATTGGACCACACTCTAAATGGACCTTCAGTGTCTTAAGCAATTATATATAATAATAAGGTTAGAATTTTTTTCATGTAAAGGTTTTCTTAAAAACTGCTTCTTCATGATTTGCAAGCATTATGGCTCATGTAATAGTAGTACCCATGCAAAAGTTCTGTATTCCATATTTTATCAAAAGAAAAATAATGGTTTTTTTACACTGGTGTCTGTCTTTACTTTGAACCCTATTGGTGACCAAGCTTACTCATTGACAGGCAAGCCACAAGCTAACTCTCATCAGATCATACAGCATCTGCTGGATGGCTTCATGTCGGTGATTGAGCACACATGAACACTTGGCTCTAAAGCGTAGACTATAATCAAGTTTGATGACAGAATCTTGCAATCCCCAGTGCTTGGAGGTAGAGACAGGAAGATCCAGAGTTCAAGGCCAGAGTGTCAATAGTCCTCTTGAAGAAATAGGTGATCTCATCCATGGACTTGTTGGGCCGCTCACCTGCCTCTGGAGACTACAAGCCTCCATCAGGTCTGGTCCTTTCTCTCCTGACTAAGTGGCAGCCTGTTGAGATGCTGTGGGATGATCCCTCCATTTGTTCTGAGAGCCAAAATTCTTATTTTGAATAGACTAATCTGTGCTGTATATATATGTACTGAAAAGCTATGTATTCTCCAGAGGAAAACTGATGGCATGCATGAAGATATGTGGATGTAAAAGTCTGTCTTGTCCCACCTCCTCTCTCCCTACCCCCATCCACAACAAAAGAAAGCAGGCCACGGAATTCTTCCTAGTAGGGCATCAGTGAAAAGAATGCTTTGTGGTGATCCACCATGATCAAAGAGGTCTTCAAACATTCTAGCTTGACTTGACCCTCCCAAAAAAAATTTGGGAAAATTTTGTCTGTCCACTACATATGTAAGGTGATACTAAAACTTTTTCAATAAGTATGATGATACATACCTTTAATTCCAGCAAGGAGGAGGCTGATACAGGAGGATCCACAAGTTGCAGGCCAGTCAGATACCAAGACTCAAGTGATGGCATGTGGACAGGTTTCTCTTCTCAAGTGTGAACTAGAGCCTGAGTACCACCATTATCCATATTCTCAGAGTCCGAGGTTTCAGATTATCCCCTTTTCTAATTGAGCTCTATTTCCTTTTGAATTCTCCTTCATTAATCTTTTCCTTAAAATTGTCTGTAACAGAAAATGCATACAGAATGAAACTGAACTGCAGTAGTCTCACTTATAAAACTTCTCATTAGAGCACAGTTGATGAGGGCAGTATGAAGAGTCAGGTGTGATGGCATACACCTGTAATCCCAGCACTCAGAGATAGGATGAATTCCCAACCAGCCTAGACCCTACCTCAAAAACAAGAAACTATGAATCTATTTATAAGACTTACCTTATTGGACACCTTCCATTGGCTTTCTCCCCTGCTGGTGGAACACATTGCAAATCTGGAGGAAGAGGGGGGGGGGGGGAAGGAACACATCCTGCTTGTCCTTCCTTAAATATGAGTCTCCCTGCTATGTCACTTCCTGCCTGAATTACCACTTCTTTACTACATTTCCCAGAGTCCTCCTGCCTAACTTGCTGCCTCATTGGCCAAACAGTACTTTATTCAAAAATTTACAAGATGAATGTACACAGAAGTACATTCACTTGGGCGCCAAGTAAAGGAAAAAGCTTGTAGATTCACCATACCTTTATTCAGATAAATACCAGCCAAACACAAGTCAGAGCGTGCCCAGGGGCAGCAAGGCAGGGAGGCCAGAGTGAAGGGGCAGCTGAAGGGGAAGAGAGCATTCCATGTGCTTGTGGTCGCTTAAGAGCCCATGCTTCGTCATTCTGACCTCACCTTGACCACGCCTTAATAGGTCAAGCACACCTGTAGCCAGCCCATAGGAGATGTGGTTACAATGTCTCCCCACAATTATGAGATAAACTAAATCTTCTGAGAAATAGATCTATTCATGAGATTGGTATAGCTGATTTTTCTGTTTCATGTACAATTACCTAGTGACATAATTTATTTCCATTGTTCGCTTACCTTCTATAATAGCTGAGAGACTGTGACATTACAAGGGATTTGGTATATTAGTACACTGAATTATTTTGATGCTTTCAGAGTTACATGCTAAAATTATAGTTATCTATTAATATCAATTACCTAATTCTACCAGGTACTCCTTTATTTTGCTATTAGCTGGTCACTGAAATTATTTGTTTTCTCAATACTAACACTCCAGGAATTCTCAATACTAACACCTCAGGATGAGGAACCTGCATCAAGCTGGATGCATAGTCTGCTCCCTCCCAAAACAGAAGAAAAGTGATGGAAAGAGGCCAAAGCAATAATGTGCTCCTCCTCAGAGGTGATTTCTGGCCGGTCAGCTTTAGCAGACAAAGGTGATAGTTGCAGATGA